TATTAGGATTGAGAGGCTCTAATCTCTACGCCTTCCATACCGACGTTGTTGGTAGCTGGTCTGAGCTTATAGGTTCTTTTGAAACCGACTTTTAAAGGCTACCTTTCTCGTAGAGAGGGAAAAAGGCGTCGAAAGTCTCGATGGCGCATCATTTGTCTTTTCGTAATCTGTCTCTGCTTGACTTTCATCGTAAATCATGACGTCAGTCGAAGCTATGCGTAGCTGTTTGTCAGCAGTATATACAAATCAATCGAAGTTGGATGTTCGCTTCCAGATGTGGTTGGACGTTTGCCTCGGCAATCGGTTTGAACTTTTAGTCGCCTAAGTTTCGTTCAAATCGCAGCACCCCAGAAGACTTCAATACGATGCCATTTGCATATTGGAGATATCTCCTCCCGCGTCGATTACATTCGAGTCTTCTCAGTTCTTTCGTTCGGAGTATCTTTGGTAGGTTGTCTGTTGCCCCGTTGAAGAGACTAAAAGCTGCGAGGGAATGTAGCAGTACGTATGGCTGACCTGCTTGAAGACGGCTTCGTCTGCATGGCTTTAGCTGCGAAAAGAGGGGGTGGTTGAAATGGACACATTGAAAATTCGAGATCCAAAAATGGCGCCTTGTTTTAAGCACCCTTAACGTATCATGGCAAGGCAATTCGGATTTGACGTAAAAGGAATTGCGCTTGTCGATGACATGCTCAATGCTACCTTATTAAGCATCAAACCAACCATTACGGGCATATCAACTCTTGCTGACATGTTTTAAATGCGTCAGCCGTTTTGCGAGCTGTCAAACGACTTCTGCAAATAGTGTCTGAATTTGTTATGTGCATTCACAGATCTCTCCCTCTCTCTTTCTCGTCTATTATCTCGTAGTAGCGGTTTATTGCAGTCGTACTTTACCTCAGCGCATGAATGGCTTGCGTGCATCTATAAAATAGGCATTATTTGACAAAGTGACTTCCTCCATCTTAGCATCTTATCAAGTGTTATGCCTTGGCGCACTTGCTCAGCAAAACTACGTCAATGGAGTCCGATACGGGCGTGATCGTATCGCAGACTTTTTGGCTGAATGCTCGTTCACTTCTTCTGTGTTATTTTGTGCTTGTCATGGCCACTTCGTGCTTTTCTAATTTAACGTGTTCGTAAGTGTTTCGCTTTTTTTCTTGGACAACCAAAGGTGCAGCATTGAGTCTCCTTTCATTTTCTGCTATAGGGGACGTTCAAAACGAGCGTGCATTGTGTTGGACATCGTTGCGGCTCTTTGAGCATATGCTAAATTGCCGAAGTGCATCGATTATTTAAGCGAACGCTGAGCAGCTTTCGTTTTAAAAAATCGTACCTCCATTGGTCGAAGATGGTTAGAAGTTGCAGGGCGCGAACATTGTGCGTAGAATTGACGCAGGTGAACGGCTCAAGCGTCGTTTCACCGCGTTTGTATTTCTTTCCTTGACAACAGGAAGTAGGTGGCGTAATTGTAGTTTACATTTTTTTACTAAATTGCTTTAGTAGCGCGTTTGTTCGGAACTTCCACGTTGATTCATCATCCGTGGAATTGTCAACTTTGAGCGGTTGTAGTTGTCACGGGACGGCCACGCAAAAGTTCACATGACCAAATTTTTGATGAAACTATGGGGAAAACAAATCTGGTGGGAACAAGTACGGACGCGCACTTTTTGGTTAGCTGCTAACGGGCAGAAAAACCTTTTGGTGGCATCTTTCTTAAAGACCATACAAAAGGTGGGTTCCCGAAAGCTCTCTCCATAAGCACACTTGTGCAATTCAGTCGCTTCGTGTAAAAATAGTACACATTAATTTGTGTCCTTTTTTATTTACGTTGCGTTTGGCCGTGCTGATGATTTTTAAATATGGAGAATTGTTCATGCGCTTTTATCCTTTATGCCTGTTCATTTGCCGCTCTCTGAATGACTTAGTCGACAAGAGAATCCTTAATGTTTATTAGCTACAGTCTATGCAAATTTAAGTGATGCAAAGGCTCTAATGAATAAAGAACAATTCCGTTTGTATTCGTACAACATAAATCGCCATGTGGGGAAGCTGCCAAAGGCATATTTGTGCGCACCTCAATCTATAATGACTTTCTTAAAGCGCTGTCATTGCTGGCAGGGCACAGTGGCGTCATTATGAGCACGTTTGTCAAGATCAGTTTTCTTGAAAGGCTTTGCCGAGAGGAGAACGCTTTGAAAATGACTGACATGGGTAATACATCGTAAGTTCTCTTCATCGAAATGGCGCTATGTTTTTCTTTGCGGCCACTTTGGTCATATAGTCCAAGATGAATGATCCTACAGACGTTTTCAGGAGGTGCCTGTTTCAGCGCCCCACATAGTCGTTACGTTTATCAGCCAGTGATGATGTTGCATAATATTTGTTAGGAAATATGTGAAAGCGAAACGGCTATACATCGCTTTGGAACATTAGCATAGACAGCAGACGTTTGTTCATGTGCTAAACTGAGAAATGCCTAATCATTATAGGCACTTTTCAAAGTGCCTTTTCACGTCTTTCTGGCGTTTGCAGCCAGCTGCTGCGGGACCTCGTTTTCGAACGTATACGAACCAAAAACTATGAATACCTGCAGATGCTTTCCTTTTCTAATGACCTAATTTTGGAAGTACCGTAGAATGTGCCCCTGAAGCGGCCGCTGGAATCTCATGAAATCTCAGCGCTTGTGCGCTTTCCCTTTTTTGGTTTTTTGACGTTGCTCCTATTTTATTGATTTACTTGTTTTAATCTGCTGCTTCCTCATAGCAGAGCAGACAAGCGTTGCAGTGCAAAAGGGCACATTTCCATATTTGCTTTTACGTTCAAGGTATATATCGGATGAGAGCTGCGTGAATGATTTCAATCCTTTCGATGACTCAGTGAGTCTTGACAAGTCAGCTCCTCAGCTGTTCATGCGCGAAGCCATTGATCGATTGTGCTTTTTTTGCCACGTAAGGCTTCTTTGATAACAATGACTGCGCCTGAAGCGAAAAGTTCCTAATGCGGCAGCTGAGCTGAACATTCACCAATATTACATGGCAGAAAGATTAGCCAACGCCTAATCCATTAAGTCTTAAGCTTCCTGATTTCTTAAATGCCCATTGCGGAGATGTATCTTCTCTACAATTAATTATACTTGCCACACCGCTGAAGAAAGTACTTAACTTAATCGGTTTGGTTGGTCGTATCGTATTTTGTCTTGTTCATGGCCATGTATGCTAACGGTTGCTTCTCTTGCGCCAGTTTTGCTTCCAAAATTGGGCAACACAAGGGTTAGGGCCAAAATCCCGAAAGTCGAAATCCCGTTAGGTCAAAATCCCGAAAGGTCAAAATCCCGATAGGTCGAAATCCCGAATAGGCCGAAAATGCAAAGCGTGGCCTTGTTTAGGTTGTGCATTGGCATCTTCTAGTTTTGGATTAGTCGAAATGACTCCTTCAGCATTTGCGGCTCACCTATGAACACAGCTGGTTTTGTTCAGCAGTGCAATCTTTTTACTAACCATAAGAAGGCAAAGAGATCAACACGGTTAACAAAACTAGAGAAAAACTAGAAGATGCCAATGCACAACTGAAACAAGGCCACACTTTACAGTGCATTTTCGACCTATTCGGGATTTCGACCCTTCGGGATTTTGACCTATCAGGATTTCGACTTTCGGGATTTTGACCGCCACCGGCGACACAAAATATGCTAATTTATTTGACTATATGCAGTATGTGTTTAATACCTAATCAGCCGTCATGGTCATTTTCTATCGTTTCGTAGTGGCGCACGGTTTCAGTTGCGAAAAATGTTTCTGCCTTAGCCAATGCAGAAGTTTAAAAAGAAGTTTTGTATTTATGCTTTACATGGTTCATGTGCTTTTAGGTGCATTGGAGTGAGCGATCGTGATCGCCTTCGCGTGACTTCCGATTCAAAATGTTGCCTGGACTCGGCCGGTGTCGAAAAGCAGCATTACCTGCGACCGGCCTCGGAACCACTGTTGCCTCAGCAGGCCGGCATTTCCCATCCAAGCGAAATTGTTACCATAAATATCAGCGGTATGCGATTTCAGACGGCTGCCAGCACGCTGCAGCGTTTCCCGGATACTTTGCTTGGCAATCCGGAAAAGTGCCTGAAGTATTACAACAAAGAGATGGGCGAGTACTTTTTCGATCGGCACAGGTCAAGCTTCGAAGCAATCCTGTACTTTTACCAAAGCAGCGGCCATTTGAAAAGGCCCGAATGGATCCCGGTGGACGTGTTCATTAAGGAATTGAAATTCTTTGAAATGGGCGCTCAAGTGCTCGAACTATTCTGGCAATTGGAAGGTTACAGAAAGCAGGACATTCCATTATTGCCTAAGCATCCTTTTCAAAGAAAAGTATGGCAGGTTATGGAGCACCCGGATTCGTCCGTATGCGCCAGAGTTTTTGCCTTCTTCTCAGTTTTTGTCATAGCGGTCAGTACGCTGTCCTTTTGCCTGGAGACTTTGCCCGAATTGAGGCAAGTGGTCAACGTGACCGAAAGTGGCGACGCCCTACCGGACTACGCCGAAGCTGGTCGATTTGAAATACGCAATCCTTTTTTTGTCATCGAAGTAATTTGCATATGCTGGTTTACCGTCGAATTCATTGTGCGCATAATCTCTTGTCCGTCCAAGCTGGAATTCTGCAAAAGCTTTCTCAACGTCATCGACTTTATTGCCATCTTACCTTTTTTTGTCAACTTAATTTTGTCCAACGAGAGTAGCTCGTCCATGTCGTTCGCTGTGCTAAGGGTGCTTCGTCTTGTTAGGGTGTTTCGAATATTTAAGCTGAGTCGCCATTCTCGTGGTCTCCAAATTTTGGGTCGCACCTTCCGAGCCAGCATTCAGGAGCTATTTTTGTTGATCTTCTTCCTTTGCATTGGTTTGGTGCTGTTCTCCAGTGCCATTTACTTTGCCGAATCCGGCAGTAAGGACAGCAAGTTCGACAGTATCCCAGCTGCCTTTTGGTACGTTGTAGTCACTATGACCACTGTGGGCTACGGCGATCTTGTACCTGTTGCGCCTATAGGTAAGCTTGTTGGTTCCTTGTGCGCCATTGTTGGCGTGCTAGTTCTTGCCCTTCCCGTACCTGTCATAGTGGCCAATTTCAAGCATTATTACAGGCTGGAAACTCGTCTTGCTTACATGATGCTTTCGCAAGCGGAGGAGAGGGCTGAAGAGAACGCCATGTCAGAGAACAGCCACTCTTCTGACATGTGACCCCTTTGCTGACCAGCCAAACTTTGAATTCTATGTTCACAATGCTTAAACTTTCTTGTATTTGCTGATATCCGCATGTTTTGCATTAAACGTGCATTCACAGCCCATAATAAGCAGTATGGTTGTGACGAAGTGTCTGTAGCAGCGATGGGCGCACTTACGCAGCATTGTGGCGCAGTTTCCTCCGCCGCATATACGTCCATTCATTACTTCAGGCATGGGCACAATTTGTGCATGTACGTAAAGTGACTTTTTGTTACTGCAGAAGTGTCATCAAGTATTTCTTGCCATCTCGTGTGACGGAGAAATTAAAACTATTTGGTTAGAAGAGCTGATCCCTTAGCCTTTACACATCTTCCAACTTGGCCTCCATAATTAGCGGACATTTGCATAAAGATATTTTGATTTGAGCGCCTGACGTGGGGCTCGAACCCACGACCCTGGGATTAAGAGTCCCATGCTCTACCGACTGAGCTAGCCAGGCTACGGCAGTGAAACAGACATGGAAGGCACCATGTCCTTCATGCATGGAGTTGCGTACTTTTCTTTACCATTTCGATTCCTCAAGTTTTCAAGTACAAGTATGACTTGGGGCTCATCTCCTTGGGAAAGCGATCTTACGTTTAAGTTAAAAAGGATGTAGAAAGGGTCCATCCCAGATTTTAATGGACTTATGATTATGAAACGCGGAGTCAGTAGAGCTCATGCAAAATACGTACGATTGGAATTTTGTCTAATTTTTCAGGATGATCCATGGTTTGAAATGCTTGACGCGATGTGGCTTGATGTGAAAATGAAATTGGTGCTGCATGCAAGGAGGTTTCCATTTAAGGAACATTAACCCACTTCTGGCAGAGTGCAATTGCTCCAACGAAACCGAACATGGATCAAGGCGGCAGAAAGAGGGTCTTCTATGGAACAAGAACCACTGCTCCGGTAGAGTGCCTTTGAGTTTGGGAATAGCTTTTCTACATTCATCACATATATGAATGAATTAAACGTATATACGTTGCAGGCGATGTATGAAATGCCGGCATTCTATAGAATACGTGTCCTTTTTAGGCAAACTATGAAATGTCTGTATTATTTTAATACGCTGTATACTTTGCCTAAGCATTGTATATAATGCCCAGGCACTATACAGAATGCCAAGTAATATTTAGGCAAAGTGTGAATCACATCTTGCCAGTGGAGACTTTTATATAGTCTTGTCACCTACGACCCCGCAAGTCTACAGTAGCGACACCTGTGGGCCAAAGTGTGCTGTTTTTGTGCTACATTGTGGCTGCGTTGTCCTTATATTTTGGTTTAGGCTTTGGCCAAGCCAAGACACGATAGTCTACAACGTTCCAAGACCAAAGCACCCAATTATTCTCGCATCCATGTCGGCTATCCTGTTCCACCTTAGCCTAAACCTAAGCTAAGATATATAGAAAGTATAGCTGGCAAAGTAGCGAGAAACAGCCCACTTTGTCCACTAGGTGTCGCCACTGTAGCCTTGCAGGGGCATAGGTGAAAAGACCTGATTTAGCACTTTGCCGGTTTGCGATTAGACATAGTATAGAACGCCTAAGAAATGTGTAAGACATTAAGTGTTTCGTATAATGCCTGAAGGTTTTGGGCGTTCTATAGAATGCATGATTTCGTACATTGCCGATAACATATATATATATATATATATATATATGTGGACAGGGAGAGAGAG